CCTCGGCCTCCCAAAGTGCTGGGATTACAGGCTTGAGCCACTGCGCCCGGCCTGAAAACTCTTTTTTTTAAACAGAGTCTCACTCTGTCACCCAGGCTAGAGTGCAGAGGCACGATCTTGGCTCACTGCAACCTCCACCTCTCGGGTTCAGCGGTTCTCCTGCCTCAGCCTCCTGAGTAGCTGGGATTACAGGCACCCGACACTATGCCTCGCTAACTTGTATTTTTAGTAGAGACAGGGTCTCACCGTGTTGGCCAGGCTGGTCTCAGTCTCTTTACCTTGTGATCCGCCCGCCTCAGCCTCCCAAAGTGCTGGGATTACAGGTGTGAACCACCGTGCCCGGCACGAAACACTTAAATTCTTTGCCTTATTATATCATTTGCTCCTTACAGCATTTCATGACTGAGGAGCACGAGAGGGTAAGTAAACTTGCCAAGGCTACTCAGCCAGTAAGTGTAGATGCAGGCATTTAAAACTAGGCAGTCTGACTCAAGTCCTGATCCGAGTTGAATGGCAATCGTATTCTTCACAGTCATTTTTCAGATATCTTTGCTCAGCTCAGATGCTCAGTGATATTGCTATTACAATAACGAGATCTCATTATTTAAGATCTGAGAACAGGAGATGTGAAGATGGACGAGATGCTCCTGGCATTTTCATACCTACATTTTGTTACCCTTTATAGAAAATCTTCTCCAGCACTAAAATTAATCAGATAATGACCTTAAGTGCTTCAGATCATAACAGGACCTGCAATTAGAGAAACTGGGGATGTGTGTGCCATACTATGATAATGTACATTTTAGGATTGTAAGGAGAGGACGTGCTCTCACCAGGACTGTGTTTTTGTTCTTGCACAGGTGGAAAAGATAATGACTCCTGATGGGAACCAGAGTAGTGATGCAACAGAGTTCATCCTGGCAGGGTTCCCAAATCTCAACAGTGCAAGAGTGGTATTATTTTCTGTGTTTCTTCTTGTCTATCTCCTGATTCTGACAGGCAATGTGTTGATTGTAGGGGTGGTAAGAGCTGATACTCGACTACAGACCCCCATGTACTTCTTTCTGGGTAACCTGTCCTGCCTAGAGATTCTGCTGACTTCTGTCATCATTCCAAAGATGCTGAGCAATTTCCTCTCAAGGCAACACACTATTTCCTTTGCTGCATGTATCACGCAATTCTATTTCTACTTCTTTCTCGGGGCCTCTGAGTTCCTACTGTTGGCTGTCATGTCTGTGGATCGCTACTTGGCCATCTGTCATCCTCTGCGCTATCCCTTGCTCATGAGTGGGGCTGTGTGCTTCCGTGCGGCCTTGGCCTGCTGGGTGGGGGGCTTCGTCCCTTTGCTTGGTCCCACAGTGGCCGTGGCCTTGCTTCCTTTCTGTAAGCAGGGTGCTGTGGTGCAGCACTTCTTCTGTGACAGTGGCCCGCTGCTTCGCCTGGCATGCACCAACACCAAGAAGCTGGAGGAGACTGACTTTGTCCTGGCCTCCCTTGTCATTGTATCCTCCCTGCTCATTACTGCCGTGTCCTATGGCCGCATTGTCCTGGCTGTCCTGAGCATCCCCACTGCTTCAGGCCGTCACAAGGCCTTCTCTACCTGTACCTCCCACTTGATAGTGGTGACCCTCTTCTATGGAAGTGCCATTTTTCTCTATGTGCGGCCATCACAGAGTGGCTCAGTGGACACTAACTGGGCAGTGACAGTAGTAACGACATTTGTGACACCACTGCTGAATCCATTCATCTATGCCTTACGTAAAGAGCAAGTCAAGGAAGCTTTGAAGGACATGTTTAGGAAGGTAGTGGCAGACTTTTTAGGGAATCTTTTACTTGATAAGTGTCTCATTGAGAAAACAGTAAGGTGAAAGTGAAGAGACTCAGTAACTAATCCTTTTTTTTTTTTTTTTTTTTGAGAAAGAGTCTCATTCTGTCACCCAGACTGAAGTGCAGTGGTGTGATCTCGGCTCACTGCAACCTCCACCTCCCGGGTTCAAGTAATTCTCCTGCCTCGGCCTCCCAAGTAGCTGGGATTACAAGTGTCCACCACCACACCTGGCTAATTTTTGTATTATTATTTTTTAAGACGGGGTTTCACCATGTTGGTCAGGCTGGTCTTGAACTCCCGACCTCAGGTGATCCACCCGCCTTGGCCTCCAAAGTGCTTGGATTTGCAGGCGTGAGCCACCACACCTGGCTCTAATTTTTGTATTTTTAGTACAGACAGAGTTTTGCCACAGTGGCCAGGCCAGTCTTAAGCTCCTGGCCTCAAGTGATTTCACCCACCTCAGCCTCCCAAAGTGCTGGGATCCATGATCGGCCTTGTTGTCATTTTTTAAAATAATAATTTGAAGTCCAAACATTCTCATTGTCATGCTCCTTTCCATCATCATCATGGATATCACCAAAAGACTGAATTCTGGAACTACTAATGAATTCCAAGGTCATCAAGTCCACCCTTCTTCTCCTTCAGGCTAAATTTCTTGATTCTAGATTATACCTAATAATAATAATACATATTATTATTATTGATACATCATGATCAATACCATCACCACTTCCTAAGACCTTCCAACCTGTGAGTCTTAACCTAAGGGTCCAAAGTCACATAGGGAATCTAAGAATAGGCTTCAGAAAATTTATAAACCTGCTAGGTATCTAAATTTTATGTGCTTGAACATATATGCATTTGTCTGGGAAGAGGAACCACAGCTTTAATTCAACATTTAAATCCATGTGTGCCCTCACCTCAAAAGTTAAAAACTGATTAAAAGTCTAAGTAGAGCCTTCCAACTGCTTAGGCAAATAAAGAATTTTAAGAAAAACTTTCTTATATACATAAAAAGAAATAAAAATAGATTATCTGTATATTTTTATGTATTTTTTAGAAAAAAACTACATTTACTACTCGATGAAAAAGAGGTTAAGCAAATTTAATAAAGGGACTTAATTACTTCTTCTCTTTTTTTTTTTTTTTTTTTTTTTGCCTTCTGTAACTCATTTTTT